CAAATAAATTTACTCGAGTATAAATCAAAATATCACTAGAAAAACAATAATTTCACTATAAAAATTCAATAAAAATATTATAAACCTACTATATATTCAATATAGAATTACAGTTTATTATGCAATAATAAGGCTTTTAATATAAGAAAATAGTTAAAGAGAAGGGTCAAATATACTCAGAAGCGATGTAAATATTCAAGGAAATAATTGTAGAGCATACATTGATATCTCTCTGCCTTGGGAAAAAGGCAGGGTTTATATATTTTTCGATAATGCCATCTAAAATATAAAGGACAACTTTTAGCAAACGTTCTGATTGGTCAAAGTGAAGAGGTATAAAGATCTTGAGATAAGGTGTGGTGACAGATAAGCAATTTGATCAGTTAAGTGCAATAGATGACAAGTATATATTTTTGAAAATAATTACAGTATTGCTTAAAATCTTATCATGATAAGTGCAGTATAACTCAGATGATTTTTATAACTAGATCGATCAAGTTTGATTTTCATGATTCTATGGTTAATCTTTAATTTATTATATTGTAAGTAATTGTGAGACAACATTCAGCAGGCACTTTGGTTGGCCAAAGTGAAGGGTATAAAGATCTTGAGATAAGGTGTAGTGACAAATAAGCAAATTAATTATAAGATTTTAGTTATGCAATGATTAATATCATGTTATTGTGCAATTATAATCGTGATTTACAAGTCATGGTTAGCTAACTGAGTTTTAAGTCAGGATTGTTGTGCTTATGTAATAACGTACTAAGAATAACAAGAGAAAAAAAATTTATGATCATAACAGTTTGCATAATAAGTATATATTTTTGGAAATAATTACAGTATTGCTTAAAACCTTATCATAATAAGTGCAATATGATTCTGCCTTATTATGATAAGTGCAATATGATTCAGATAATTTTCATAACTAGATCGATCAAGTTTGATTTTCATGGTTCCATAGTTGATCTTTAATTTATTATATTGTGAGTAATTAAGAAATATAATCGTTAGAGATGTGGGATTTGTATAAACAAATGCAAATCTAAGACAACTTGAAGAAAAAAAGCATATAAAAGGATTCAAGGTTTTGGGCTTTGATAAGTTAAAATGGAAAAGACTGTTTTGATTAGCAATTCTAAAGCTTTATAGGGAAAGTAATGAATAAGCTCATTCTTATATTAAAAAAGCCACTTCCTAAATTTTTGTAATTTGCACAATAAAAATAAAATAAAATTTTCTTTTAACTATGAAAAAAACATTTATACTTGCTTATATTTAAAAAAAAATATAAAAACACTTTAATTTTTTTTAGACTCATAAATTTAACTTTAAATATTATCTAATTTAATTCTTATTGTAAAAACAATGCTCTATTATTTAGACACTATCATTAAAATCAAACATGTTAAACAAAATAAAACAAAAGATACAAAATCAATTTCGGTATAGGCTATTGGTATGTATCCTGTCAGGTGAGATGACAATGAAATGGAAATGATATTATTTGTACTACAAAATTCTAATGAATGAGACTCTGAATCGCAAGCTATTTTTAAAAGCGTGAATACTACTCTGTTGGAAGAAAAATTGTACTTAATCACTATGTTAAAGTTATAAGGCCAAAAGTATTGAATAATAATTTTTATAATAAGCCTATACAAACCTAATAAATTAGTTCTCATAACTTGCTAGATCAAATTTTACAAAACTTTTAAAAAAGTTTTAAAGTATATTTACTATCTGGATGAGTTTTTCTAAAGAATTTATAAAAAATTTATGTATTTTTTTTTTATATAAAATTTTTGAAAAATAAATTAAAAATCAGATCACTTTCAAAAATTTTATATTATAAGAACCAATTTATTAAATTTGTACGGCCTAATTTAAAAAAAATTTAATGACAATTAGTAATAATTTAATAATAATTACTTAGATGTCAGTCATGATTTCGACTTATTTAATTATTAAAGATACTAATTATTCAGAATCAAACAAGTGTCCCCTAAAAGTATCTTTCATAGAAACTCTACAAGGAAAATTGTCTGCAATTGAAAATACAGAAAATTTTATTATTGAAATACTTACAACTAATTATATTAGTGTAGAGTATAGTTATATTATTAATATAGTTTTCTCTCATACTAATCTATGATTTGAATATCTTAAATCAGCTATCAATTTATAGGAATCTGTTATGTTTGTTATTGGACAAATGGAAGTCATAGATGGTATGTTTTATGTTAATGTGAAAGACATTAATTACATTAGTATCAAAAAAAAAATTCTGATGCAGATTCTTCCCAGAATATATCAACTCTGACTAATTCAACAAGGTCCAAACTCTTAAACATCTACCAAAATATAGCTAAAAATTCAAAAAATATATCTACAGTTAAATTGCCAAATTCAAATGATACTGAACATGAACCTTCTGCAAAATGCAAAAGATCTGAAGAATCATATGAATATGTTGAAGACCTATCAGAAGTGGAAAATGTTGACTCTACTGTTGATTGTGAACCTGAAGTAACTGAAAATAACCTAGCTAAAAATAATAAACCACAAAAAAACCTCACTTGCAATCTAAAAAAGAATAAAGAACACCTGATTAGAACTACACGAAATGATCAAATCTCGTAATATTTAAATCAAAAAACTATTAATTCTGATAAAGAATAAATATAACTATTTTATAATTTAATTTATATTATGTATAGTTTAAATTTATTATTTATTCTTATATGTCATATATGTTTTATAAAAGTTTTATGTGATTTATTCTTTAAAAATCTATAAATTTAAATTTACTACAATGAGAAACTTACTTAAATAAGCTTATTAATTAAAAAAAAGTTACTTATCGCATTTTCAAATTACTATTAACAGCAAATTTCATATATTATATGGGCTGCCGTCAATAAAAATAAGGCAAATTGACATTTAAAAAAATTTAAAGTCTTAACTTTCACAGCTTATATCTCGATGAATTTTAAAGCTATCTTAATAAATTTCTATTCAAATGAAAGC